AGAGAAAATACTAAAAAATGGTTTAAAAAACTTCTCTCTTCTCTTGTCTTTTTGTCATCCATCCTTAAAATTTAGGGTTATTCTTCTTTTTTATCCTTGTGTACTGTAGCCACCACCCTCATGCATGTAACCTTTGTGAGCCATAAAAAACGAAGAATGGATTTAAAATAATTGAATAAATAAGAAAAAAAAAATAAACGACATGTGTTATTTATGCACAAAAGTAAACCCAAAATGCCATAGAATTTTCAAAAAGCTTAAAAGGGTAACTCAGACATTTTGTAAGAGTGTCGACTAGTCACACAAGGGTGAGACTCTATTGTACGCTTTCAATCGTTGCCCGTTGACTTTGAAGATAGTCCTATCGTCCATGTTCTTGATGTCTACAGCTCCATGAAGGTAAACTTGGTGCACTTCGAAGGGTCTAGACCATCTCGATTTAAGTTTACCGAGAAAGAGCCTAAACCTTGAGTTATAGAAGAGGACCTGCTGACCAATATGAAAATGATGTGGAAAAGGCATTTGATCATGCCACTTCTTGGCCTTCTCTTTAAATATCTTAGTATTTTCATATGCTTGTACCCTAAACTCTTCCATTTCATTAAGCTCCAATAATCATCGCTTACCAGTTAATTGTGCATCAAAATTTAACTTTTTGATGGCTTAATAAGCTTTGTGTTCTAACTCAATAGGAGATGTCAGGCTTTTTCATACACCAATTTGAATGGGGGTATTCCTAGTGGAGTTTTAAATATTGTGCGGTAAGCCCATAGTACTTCATCGAGCTTTGGTAACCATTATTTTCATATAGGGTTCACCACCTTCTTGAGGATTTACTTGATCTCACGGTTTGACACTCTAACTTGCCCATTGGTATGTGGGTGATATGCCATGGTAATTTTGTGTCACACCCCATATTTTTGCAATGCCTTGGCAATCAACTTGTTATCAAAATGGGTTCATTTATCACTAATAATGGCTCTAGGTGCTCCAAATCATGTTAAGATATTCTTGTGAAGGAACTTGAGCATCGTATTATAGTCATTTCTCAGCGTCACAATTGCTTCAACCCACTTGGACACATTGTCCAAAGCTAACAAGATACATGTCACCAAACAAGGACGTGAAGAGTTCCATGAAGTCTATGCCCTACACATCAAAAAGCCCTATCTCCAAAATATTTTGCAATGGCATTTTGTGTCGTCTGGAAATATTCCCAGTGCGCTGGCATCTATCTCATGCCTTGCAAAACTCATGGGTATCTTTAAATAGTATAGGTCAATAAAATCCTGATTGAAGGACCTTTGCAGTGGTCCTTGCTCCTCCAAAATGACTTGTACATGGTGTCGAATAGAAATGGTGTAAGATGTCCTTTTGCTTCTCCTCAAAGACACACCTTCGGATCGTCTAGTCAGCACACTGATTGAACAAGTATAGCTCCTCCCAAAAATAAAATCTCTCCTCGTGCCTGAATTTCCTCTTTCCCTGGTTGTTCATGTCATAAAGAAAAATACCACTAATAAAAAATCAACAATGTCAGCGTACCATGGAATTCCCGTGGCATATAAAATTTTCTCATTAAGGAATTCTTCTTTGATTTCCAAATTGTCATGGCATTTTGAATTGTTCTCTAGCCTAGAAAGATGGTTCGTAACTTGGTTCTCAGTACATTTCCTATATACAACTTCTAAGTCAAATTCTTGCAAGAGTAGTATCCATTTAATAAGTCTAGGCTTGGCATCCTTCTTATTAACTAAGTATTTGATAACTGAGTGATCAGTGTGAACAATAACTTTGGTGCCTATCAAGTATGCCCTAAACTTGTCAAATCCAAATACCACTGCAAGTAATTCTTTCTCAGAGGTAGAATAGTTAAGTTGTGCATCATTCAGAGTATGAATAGCATAATATATTAAATGGAAGATTTTATCTCGATGTTACCCTAACACTAATGCCACGACATAATCGCTTGCATCACATATTAGCTCGAACGTTGGTGTCCAATCGGGGGGAACAACAATAGGTGCTGAGATGAGGCTTTGTTTAGCTCTGTGAATGTGCCATGACAAAATTTATCGAACAAAAAAGGGTAATTTTACTGTAGCAAGTTACAAAAGGGCTTAGAAATCTTAGACAAGTCCTTGATGAATCTCCTATAGAAACCCGCATGTCCAAGAAAACTCCTAACCTTCACTGTGGTTGGTGGGGGTAACTTCTTTATCACCTCAATTTTAACTTTATCCACCTAAATACCCTTGTACGAAATCTTGTGGCCTAACACAATACCTTCAGTTACCATAAAGTGACACGTTTCCCAATTCAACATAAGTTCATACTCTTCACAGCGCCTGGGAACCTTTGCCAGATTGCCAAGGCATTTTTCAAAATTGTCTCTAGAGATGGATAAATTATCCAGAAAATCCTCCACGAGAAAATGGCTTGCATACATCGTTGAAAAGTTATCGGAGCATTGCAAAGGCAAAAGGCATCATCCTAAAAACATAAGTGCCATAATGGCATGTGAATGTTGTCTTTTCCTGGTCCTCTAGTGGAATGATAATTTGGTTGTACCCCAAATATCCATCTAGAAAGTAATTGTATGCCTTACCCGCCAATCAATCAAGCATTTGATCGATAAAAGGTAGAGAAAAATGTTTCTTCTTGGTAGCCTTGTTGAGCTTGTTGTAGTCCATGCAAATCCTCCATCTAGTGATGGTGTGCGTGGGTAGGATCTTATTGTCATCATTGCTTACCACGGTCGTGCCTCTTTTCTTAGGGATGCATTGCATCAGTCTCACCCACGAACTATTAGATATTGGGTAAATAACTCCAACATCAAGCCACTTGAGAATCTCCTTCATCACCACCTTCTTTATGACAAGGTTGAGCCTTATCTGTGGCTCTATAGAATTATTGTGACATTCTTCAAGAATAATTTTATGCATGCATATGGTGGGACTTATCCCCTTCAAATCTTCCATGGTTCATCCCAACACTTTCTTATGATGTGACAAAATAGTTAGCAAACTACGTTATTGGTCAGGATTAAGGCTTGAGGAGATAATCACTGACAATGTCTCATTACTAGCTATGAAAGCATATTTGAGAAGCGAGAGTAATGTTTTTAGCTATAAGGTAAGTTCATACTATATTGAGGGCTTGGTATGAATAAATTCATTGAAATCAAGAGGTTTAAAGAACACACCTAGTCTAGCCAAGAGTAAGCTAGACAAATGTACCTCTAATGGAAATTCATTGGCCTCCTCTTTATTTTCCTCTGCCAAGAGCTTTTCATAATCTGCTAGTTGTATAAAATTGTTGTGGAAAAATTGATCAACTTACTCTTCTATGATTGAGTTCATTTCCAAAATAATCTGGCATTCTTCGTACTCATCCACATACTTGAGAGTCTGAAATACATTTACGGTCACACTCTGGTCAGCTACTCTCATAGTGAGCTCATATTTCTCATAATTAATGAAAATGCAACCAGTAAGTAGGAAAGGTCTCCAAAAATTATGGTTTCTTGACATCAACCTTACAATCAAGTATAAGGATGTCAACTGAAAATACAAATTTGTCCACCCTTACTATGAAATCTTTGACTCTCACCTCAGGACGAACATGGGAGAGGTCGGCTAGTTGCAAAATAACGGATCATGCATTTCCCATTGGCATCAGATTCACAATTGATCCAAGGTCACACAGTGCCTTTCCAATATAGTTGTCACCTATAGAGCATGGAATGATGAAACTGCCTAGATCTTTTTGCTTTGGCGACAACTTTCTTAATGCGAAGCAGTACTCTTTTTCCATGGTAATTTGGCTAATCTTCTCGACTTTTCTCTTCTTGGTGATAATGTCCATGAAAATTTTGGCATATATTGGCATCTATTTAATGGCATCCACAAGTGGAACAATAATATATAGTTGGTCAAGAATGTCTACAAACTTCTTGAAATGAATTTCATAATTATGCTTCTTCAGCCTTTGATGGAAGATTGGTGGTGGTTTGACTTCTTCTACTGATAGTGTGGGAATAACTTTTTCCTTGGAATTTTTGTTTTCTCCTTCAACAGGCTCACTAGTTGAACCCTCATCATTTTCCTTCTCCTCGAGTATCTCTTCTGGTAATTCTGGTTCTACATGCACATTTATGGGGATGGAATTTTGTGGCTTATTTCACCCAAACTTTTCTTGATGATTAATTTGGGTGACACTCCTTAGTGTAAGTTAACTACATTACTCCTTGCCATGAGGTTTAGTGACCTCAGTGTCACTGGGAAGATGACCTAGCTGGAATTCTTGTAATGCCATGGCAATTTGTTATACTTTGATTCTTGATAGCGGTAGAATGTTATTGTAGTATAGTCCTTGTGCTTGCTATAAATTCTCGCATGGTAGCTCCAACGTGTTGGTATTAGATGAAGACGCGGCCCCTTGCTGGAATTTTTCCATAGCATATTTGCTAGAAAACCTGGGGACTCGTATACATTCTATTGCAAAAGGAGTGATCAACATTAGTGGCTCCTTGATTTCCCCACGAGAAATTAGGATGCTAACGCCATCCTGAGTTGTAGGTGTTGGAATAAGGGTTATTTTTTGTCACTTTGGTTAAAATTCACATATTTGATGGATTATTGATTGTCCGGGCACTCACTTTCATGGTGATTGTCACGGCATAACATACATGCTGAATTGGTCACCTGTACTTCTTTCACCTTATTAGAATGTTGCAAATTCTTCAACATATTTGAGATAGTGGAAAGTAGGATAGAGATTGAATCGTTAGCATCTAGCTCAAATGTCCCTAGTACCTTCCTCCCAGTTCCATGCCTTGAAGAAGGAAATTGGTAGTCGTTGTTCACAATCTTATCAAGAAAGTCGACTGCCTCTTCAAGTGATTTGTCTAGAAAAGTGCCAATTTCTGAATCATCTAGCATCATCCTGGTGGGTGCATTAACTCCATTGTAAAACATTACAACTTGAGTCCAACTTGGAATCCATGATTAGTACATTTGTGAAGTAATCCTTTATATTGGTCCCAAAACTCATACATAGACTCGTCATCAGCTTGACAGAAAGATGATATCTCATTTCTGAGTTGATTGTTCATGTTTGGCAAATTATATCGTAGCAAAAAACTTATGCATAGATCAGCCCATGACTCCATCGAGCCGAATAGAACTCCACTCAACCAAGCTCTTGCTCGGTCACACAATGATTATGGGTATAATTTTAACTTTAACACATCCCCATGCACTCCTTTTTACCTAAAAGTATCACATACCTCCAAGAAATTAAGAATATGTTATCTGACATCTTCATGAGGCATACCTCCAAACTGCCCTATAGAATTCAGCATGTTGAACATGACTAGTTTAAGCACGAAGTGGGCTACCTGAATCTTGGGTATCATAATTATAGGATTTAGATAATCCATGATGGGATTTAAGTGATGTCGAATAGCACGAGGTATAGCAACATTCCCAGTACTTGGAATTACTCAAGCATTTAGATCTGCCTGATCCTCCAATACTTTATTAACACCTTGGTGTCCTACTGCATACATGTTCCGTTGAGCATGTTGAGCACGTCTGCTTCATCTAAAGAGTTTTTCAATTTCATTTTTGATTGGTAGTGGTGGTCCTTCAGAATGTCCTCTGGTCATGCACTAATCATCACCTAAAAAAAATAAAGTGGCAAGTAAAATTATACAAAAATAAAGAAGTAAAATAAAAATGCTATGACAAAACTGTTAAAGTTCCAGTTACCAAATTCCCGGCAACGACGTAAAAAACTTGTTGTGTGTTTGTGAGTACTATAGATTGGACACAAAAATATGCGCAAGTATACACAAGTGCACAAATAATAAAAAGTGAGTGAGTATTGATCCCACGAGGATTGGAGGTAATTATGAGTCAAGTTAAAGCAACAAACTAATTTATCTATGTATAGCTAGTGGTACGCATAAATGATTATGTTGAGGCAAAATGAAATGTATGAAGATGAAATTGGTTTGATGATGTGAATGTGTAGCAAATGGAAATGTAGGGCAACTTGAATAAAAATGTTATGGCAAAGTGAAATGATAACTTGGGAATTAACTAAAAAGACTTTATAATTCTCTCACAAGCAACCTTTTATGGGAATGATTGATGGGGTCGCTAAGGAATCCTAATACTTGTCTTTTAGAATGGTTTAAACTTTTATGGTTCACTTGCTCGAGAGAGTTCACCGAGAGTGCTCCAATGCTATATCTAGTCAAGGAACCTGACAGATGAGAATGCAACGACAAATCCTTTCGGCCTGAGCATCAACATCTAACCTACCGAATAATCTCAACTCCTATTAGTAGCTGAAATCCTACCTTAGTTTCTCTCGAACACTAATATTGGATTAAGATCTAGTTATTAGCTAAAACCCATTGTTGATCTTTCACTATTTTCTCTCGAACACTAAGGATCTTTAACTTAGTTTCTCTCAAACACTAATGTTGGATTAGGCTCTAATTATTAGCTAAAACCCATTTTTCATGTTGTTCTTCCCTAGTCTCTCTCGAACACTAAGGATCTTTAACTTAGATTCTCTCAAACACTAATGTCAGATTAGGCTCTAGTTATTATCTAAAACCCATTACTAATGTTGATCTTCCCCTAGTTTCTCTCAAACACTAAGGATCTTTAACTTAGTTTCTCTTAAACACTATGTAATATACTTAAAAAAAATGGTCACTCTCATGCCTCCTACGATCTTAGGTAATTCAAAGCAATGTAAAAAAAAGTGATAAACATAAAAGTATCAACCAGTGATTAAATAAAAACACTTAATCATCAATCATAAACCCCACCAAATAAGGTTTAATTCATGGTAGGGTCAAATAATCCATAAAAATAATATGTTCCATGCAACCCATCGAATAGAAAGAGAAATAAAGCAAAACAAAAAGGTGGAGGAAAACTCCCAACTTGCATTGTCGTGATCTCCTTGGCCACCACAAATTGCCTTAGTGTCGTTTGCTCCTCTCGGATGCCAAACTCTCCACTCCCTCACGAAGAAATAAATGGAAGAAAAAAAGAAGCATTTTAGTTGCCCCTTTCACTCATAAATGGAAATTAGAAGATTTTCCAATAAAAAGCTCCTTCATTTGTGGTGTCATAATCTGTATATACCATGGGAATATAATTAGGTTTTTTTATGCGAAAATTACATGTGAGGAATAGTACAATAGCTGATAGTGGGCCCCCTATAGGCGGTTGGCAGCAACGGACATATGGTGAAAGAACAAATGGCCTTGTGTGAAAATATCTTCAACTTCCTTGTCCTTTTCTACACCCATAAATGTCGCATCATTTTAGCGTTGTTTGCCACGACAATTCTCCTTGCACTCCACCTAGAAATGCCACGACTTTTTTAGCCAGTTTGCCACGACAATTTTCCTTGCACACCATTGCTCCTAGAACCTAAGCATCAACATCCAAACCAGACTTTCCCCATAAAATAGCACCATTCTCAAAAGAAAATACCAGGGAAAAATAAATCCACCAAATGTAATTACTTGCTCATAAATGCATCTAACCGGACCTGTATGAGCTAGCCCTTAAACAATTAATAACTTAAGTGAAAGGGCCCTATGTATAACCTTTTTATGGAGTTATCAACAGTCATATAAAGCTATGAGCCAGTTTCCCATTACGTCCAAATCGAAGCATTTTCTTCCAAGGAGACACCTTGGGGAACATTTTGTCACTAATTGTATACATTATTTCCTTACATTTCAATTTTGTGTATGACATCTATTTATCGAAAGCCTCTATCAACCGACACTAAATCACTCAAAATTTCTATTTGTCTGATCAAGTCAGGACCGACTAACTTTCTTTCACTAAGTTATGTCCAATACAATGGGGTTCTACATTTTTTACCATACAGTGCTTCAAAAGGGGTTATCTGGTTACTCAACTGAAAACTATTATTGTAACCGAATTCCACTAACGGTAAATGGTCCTCCCAACCACCCTCAAGGTCTATAACACAACACCTAAGCATGTCCTCTAAAATATAAATCACATGAACAAATTGACCATCAGCCAGCAGATAGAAGACAGTGCTAAAATATAGTTGGGTACCTATCATGAAGCGTTTTCCAAAATCTCGAAGTGAAACTCAAATTTCAATTAGAAATATTCGGTCTTGGTACTTCATACAATCTCATTATTTTTTTAATGTAAAGTAGAGCTAACTTTTCTAAGGTGAAATCCATCAATACTAGTAGAAAATTAGCAGACTTGTTTAATAGATCCACCAGCACCTAAACTACGTCATGCCTTTGACCCTTTATCGGTAGCTCTTAACCGTTATAAAATGGTATATTTCATGTCTTTTTACTTAAGGCATTGTTAGTTTTCAAGTTCATTTAGTTTCATAAAGGTTCATAAATCATGCATGTGGTGGAGTTTTCTTATTGAACTTAATTTGTTGATAAAATGGTGATACTATTAGAGAAAGGTGGTATTTTAGTGTTGCATGTGCAAATTAAGGAAACTTGATGAGAAATGAAATTATGCTGCAACATTATGGACAACATTTCTGGGAATAGAAAAGGACAAAAGAAGATATTTATATGAAGATATACACATGAACCCACAAACCAATTGTGCCTCATACATGAAGGGAACCTTTCCCTAGGGCACACAAATAATTACAATACAAACCCTAAGAGCCGTCACTTTATAAAGAAATGGGCATTCACATTAATGGCATATTGGAATTTATGAGATAGAAAAGAGAGATAACGGTGGGTAATCTTTCTTCTTCTATCCTTTCTCGTGGCGACCTCTATTTTTGAAGCTCCATTAGAATATCAAGCTGGACTTTGAGAGAAACTAGTAAGCTCGAGACAGTTTACAACTTATATGATCTTCTACTTCCTTAGTGCTATTCCATTTCTCATTATTTCTCTTCATTGATTGTAATATTCGAATGATTTTGGATGATACCCAGCTATTAACTAACATTAGTTGGCTTAGGTTTATTATGGATGATTATAACTTGTTTAATAATTGTTGAGGCATTTTTAGTTAATACTTGTTTTTTTCACTATTTTATTGCTTAGATTTGTAAGAGCTTGCGAGAGTTAGCCTTAATCTTTATTTGATGTTTAATATTCGTTTAATATTCGAGAGGGTTTTAAGCGTAGATCTATGTACAAGAGGGGTGAATTGGTAAAGAGTGTTTAGGAGTAAAGAGAAAGAAAATATAGACAAATTTTCACAGTGATTTATAGTGGTTCGACTTCTCAACTAAGTCTACCTCCACTACCTTAGCTCATCACTAAGGATTTTCCAACAAATCCACTAATTTGTTCTTTCTTTTCAAGGACAAAGATATAACTTTTACAAATCCCTAACTTTTAACAGGCTTAGCTAGAACCAAAACCCCTTTTCAAAATGATAAAAGAAGTAAACAATAAAACCTCTACAAGGTAGGGTGTTTGCAAATTAAATCTCACAAAAACACAAATATGTACAAGAGAATAGAAATAAAGAGTGAAAAGCTCTTCTCTTGTGTTTGATTGCTTGGATAGGTGTTCTGGCCCTTCTTCAAGTGTCTTGATATTGTATTTATATGTTTGAATGAGTTTGTGGCAGTTTCTAGCCGTTGGGAGTGATTTGGAACTGTTGGAGACGTTTTCTCTACAAAATAAAACTGCACAGTATAGATGGTATCGGTACTCCTATAGGGAGTATCGATACTACCTTTGTTATTTTTAAATAAAACTAGTCGTTACTAGTTGTAGGACCTGACAGTATCGATACTACTTTGTGAAGTAGTATCGATACCCCTTCGGGTAACTGTACCTATTTTGTATTCTAGAATTTGAGCAAGTTGGTAGTATCGATACTGCCTTGAGAGTATCGATACTTTTCTTACCTAGGGTATCGGTACCACATGAATAGTATCGGTACTATTCATATAGTATCGATATTGTAAAACCAGTATCGGTACTTCATACGTGAAAATAAATTTAATGCTCAAATTCACTTTAAATTGAATTATTTTTGAAAACTTTGACTAAATTCAATTCAAGTCCAAAAACATTTTATC